CCCCCGCCCGCAGCTAGAGCCTCTTCCCCTCCCTCCGGCCAGCCCCTATCTCCTCTTAATGCCCAGGAGGCTATTGCCATCTCTTCTAACAGCCCTGATGTGTAAAGGAGCCCAGGATGCAAAAGAGTTTGGCGGCGACAGATAAATTTTCACTGCCGAAGCCTCTGTCTCTTCGATGGAAACACTGCTAGTACATGATCATCTGATATGGTGACAGCTTTGGGGGGGTCTTCTCCTTTGCTCGGAGCTCTGTTCCTTGCAGGAATTGAAATCCACAGGCCTGGGAGCAATGCAGGGAGGGAGCAGCGCCCATGCAACATCACGAGTGCTGCACACCGAGGGCCACCATGTTGCATACAGCTAAGACCGCCTGCACCCACAGCGCTGGTTGAAATCAGTGGGTTCTAAAGGGCCTGAATTGGATCAGCCCAGTCAACTAACTGCTTCAGGAATAATTACATCCATGTTAACAAGGCTCCAAGCACTTTCAGAGCTTTGCTCATTCTCTTCCTTTGAATACATTCTGAATGAAAATCATATATAGACCCCAGCTCAACCCTTCTTCCCTCCCTTTTTTCCTCTTTATTTTCCTCTTAAATGCTACAGATATTGCTTTCCTGGGACAGGAAAACTAATGCATGCAAATTGTTACACAGCATTACCACTGCCGGGGTGCCACTATATTGCTGAGATAGTTAATTACCAGGGTAATGCAGTTTGTCTGCTCTATATCCCCTTGTGCTGCTCCTAAAAGGAAACAAAGGAAACGACATCAGAGAGACAAAGAGAGAGAGAATTCAGTCCCCTATTAATAACCGCCGTAAAGGAAATAAAGGATTAAAGGCCATTCGCAGCACACATGGCATGCAGCTTTGTATGGCACAGATGCTGAAGAGGGTCTTGGAACCGGGCCTGCACCTGGCCACGTTATTTATCAAGAGATAAACCTTGAGATCCTTTCTTAATTTACATTGAATTGCTTTTATGCCAAAAGCAATTTCACAGAAAGTGAGATCTAAGTGAAAACCAAGGCCAGTGGCGAGAGCATTGCTTGGATTCACACAATGCCTCTGGTCTCCATTCTGCCACTTCCATGCAGCTATCACGTTAGCAGGTGGCTTAAACTGCTCTTGCTTTCCGTGTCTGCAAAAGGAGAGGTAACTTTCTCCCCCATAAAAAGCCCTGGGATTTACCTTAGGGCTGAAATTCTAATTTCCTGGCGTTTCCCAACAGGGCAATACGTTCTCAATGACTGAGGAGCCAGGTCCACACAAGAGGTAAGTAATGTCATCACCAGGCTTTTCATGCTCACTGCAATCAGTGATGACTTTTCTGAAAGCCAACGACAGAGGGTGGTCCTGAATAAAAATGACATGATTTAGCCTTAGGAAGCATACAGAGACTTAATAAAAAAAATAAAAATGAAGAAGCCCTGTGGATTCTAATGACTACATAATTTTTATAGCTGTTCTGTGGGATTTAAAAGGATGGTTAAAACTGCCATACTGAATACACAATTCCTTATTGCATTTAAAGTGTTATTTATTTATTTTAAAATTGTTTCTGTTGGTCTCATTCGGTCTCTTTATGATCATGTTTGTGCTGTTCCTCCCAGGTTCTATAAGAGGTTTCCACAAAGGCGGGCTGTCCCTGTAGGTGACATCCATTAGAAGGGTCAGTTGTTTTGAAAGGAAGAGAAAGAGATAATGAGAAAATCCAGCACTCACCAAGTGAGTAGGCACCAACACCCCCCTCCAGTTATCTCCAGCCAATAACACTACGTGGCGATGAGGTAATGCTTGCATCTGATCCTCCACAGCAGCCCTTCTGGTTTGTAATTCTCCTTAAACGAGACAAAACCCAAGAAGCTTCTCTCTCTCCGTAGTGCTGGTGCAAATGAGCATCTGAATTCAGATCCTCACAGCTACAGGGAAAGGGGGGTGGCGGGGAAGCGTGCCAGTGCTCCAGCTTTTCTTCCCTTCCCTCTTTTGTAGCACATAAGCGAGTTTGAAGTTTCACTCAGGCAAGTTAAAGGAAATCCAGGCAGGTGTTTTGGTTCCTGCTGCAGACAAATCCCAGGGCGGGCTTATTGTTCAGGCCTCTGAGTTAATTTAGAAAACTGCCATTTTTGTATCGTTCACAAACCAGCTTACTCTCCCTTCGTCATCCTAGTGTACCCAAGGAAAAAAATAAGATTTTCTGACTCAATATTTAAAATGTATCAGCTGTGGGAAAGACCGCAGAAATGGCTTTGTTTTCCTCAGCTGGTGCATGCTGCATGTGTTTCGATCACGCCTCTGTATTTTCTTTGACAGGAAGAACAGCTTCTCCTGTTGGGGCCAGTGGCAGGCAGTCGGTATGTGGGGCGGGCTCCTGAAACAGCAGAGCATTGTCAGGGAAACCTTGGAAGCAGATTGTGTATTACAGGCAACACTTTGGGAGGGAGAGGACAATTCCCCCCTTCACATTCCGGCCCCTGGCTGCCCCTGCAGGTTTGTAAGGAGGAAGGCAACACCTCCTTACCCACTGAACACACATGGTGAGAAGTGACGGCAAAGAAAAAGGGATTGCGCCCAACAAGCCTGGTCCCAGCCACCACCAAAGTCCCCCTGACTGCACCCAGAGCAAGAGCCTGGTGACATTTTCCTGTCACTCTTCTGTCTGCAAGAGCGATTTAAAATGGATTAGCTGCCCTCTATACTTGCGCATCACCAGCCGGATAATTGTCCTCGGCTGGACGAACATTTTTAAGTGCTCATTTTTCTGCTAGAAAAAGTATTTCTCCCTTCAATCAAGTGCAATTACCCCAACCATCTCTTCTAATTGTTGTGTTTCCAGAAGA